TCCTGCCTCAGTTTCCCAGGACGGAGAGGGGGGAAGCGGGCACGGAGCAGCGCCCGGAGCGGCCCCAGGGCCCAGGCAGCCGGGCACGAGCCCCGCTGCCCCGCGCTCTTCGCCACACACCGGCCAGGGCCTGCGGGGAGCCCCTGTGGGAGCCACTGGCCGGGGGGCTGCTCCTGCTGGGTGCTGCGGTGTGGGGAGAAGGCAGAAGTGGGTGCCACACAAACACCCGCTCCACGGCGGGTAAAGTGATGGCTGGGGGAGATGGAACAGCCCCCCCGGCCTTGCTCCCCCCATGGAGCTGCCCCGTGCAGTGCCAGCCTCTTTGCACCCAGGACACGGAGGCTCGGGAGAGGTCGGGAGCCAAGGGCTGCCCTGGAGAGGAGCGGGCACCCGGCTGCAGCGCCAGGATGCGCCCCGGCAGCTGCCTCCTGAATTAGCCTCCATCAAGTTAATTGCCAAAGCGCTCCAACCCTGAAATTATACATTAAAGCTGTCACTCGTAGGCTCCCAGAGATTCCCTCCTTCCCGGCAAAAGGCAATTCTGCCTGTCCAAGCAGAGGGAAGATGGATTCCCTAGTGCAGGATCCGCCGGAGCTGCTCCCAGCCTCATGCGCTGCTCCTGGGTCCTGCTCGCAGGCGGTTTCCTTGGTCTCGCTGCAGCCTGGCCCTTCCCTTCGTCCCTGCAGCCTTGGGATGCCCAAAGAGCCGAGAGAGTCTCCATGGGGCTGCAGGGCCTGCCAAGGCCTTGGGACAGCCCTGGAGCAAAAAGAAAACCCAGAGGGAAAACTATCCCCTGGGGTCCCAAAGCTATTGAAAAGGACCCTGCCAGGAGAGCTGCTCAGCACGGGTGTCCTGGGCACTGAGCACCTGAGGTGGCCCGAGGGCTGCTGAGACGCTGTTGTCATCGCTCAGGGGCTGCAAAGGGACCTTCTGTCCCAGCCAACACCAAGGTCTCCTGAGCCAGAGACCTGTCCTGTCCCAGGATGGGAGGAGGCGCCGAGGGCACCATCCTGGGAAGCAGGAAGGTGCCTGTACCTGGGGCCAAGTGGGAGGAGAGGAGGGGACAGGTGGGACTGTGCAGCTGGTGGCAGTTCAGGAAACTTGGGTGAGGATCTTCCTGCTTTTGCTCAACCCCTGGCTCCAAAGGGTGGGAGCCTTGGAGCAGGACCCATGGGCACCAAGGCCCATGGGGATGGGCCCATATGCAACCCTCTTCCCTGCTTGGAAACCGTTGCCCGAAGCCTTCCCTGCAGAGAGGGCATCCAAGCGGGACCTGACCGTCTTCTCCTTGCTCCCGCAGTGAGGAGCGGGCGCCGAGGGGAGATGTGTCCTGCCTGGGGCTGATTCCCCCGCCGCGGGAATATGCAGCCTCGGTGCCGCAGGGGCAGCAGCAGGGCAGCGGGCGGCGGGCGCGAGCAGGGCACCGTCCGGCATGGTGACAACGTTCAAGATCGCCGTGCTGGGAGCCCAAGGCGTGGGGAAGAGTGCCATCGTCCGCCAGTTCCTCTACAACGAGTTCAGCGAGGTCTGCGTGCCCACCACGGCCCGCCGCGTCTACCTGCCCGCCGTGGTCATGAACGGCCACGTCCACGACCTGCAGATCATGGACTTCCCCCCCATCACAGCCTTCCCGGTCAACACCCTGCAGGTAGGTGAGCCGGGCAGAGCGGGGCCGGCCATGCCGACGGCTGCTTCCTGCAGGAGAAACTCCATCGTGGGCCTCCCTGGGCTGGGGCTCCTCACGGACCTCCACACGGGGCTCCCAGGCTTCAGCTCCGGGTTGCTCCATGCACGGTCATCTGGAGACACCTTCCCCCAAGAGCACGTGTGGGTTCCGGGGACAGGGGCTTTCCTGTAGGATGCTGCATTTCCTGGCTGGCCACTCGTCTGCTGCCCCATCTTGGTGTTGTGCTGGTGACTCGTGGGGGCAGTGGGATGTGCTGGGATGGCCCCACAGATGGCGGCATCTCCGCCAGGGCTGGGCCCGCTGGTGTCACAGAGCCGCCCCACCGCGTGGGGAAAGGGCTGTGTGTTAGAGGGGCTCCCTCTGCTCCGTGCTGGTGGGGACGAGGCCGGGTGAGCGCTCCAGGGAGAGGGGGAGCGTGCCGGGAAGGACAAGTCCGTCAGAGAGCACCTGAAATAGCAAAGGGTGATCTACTGACCTCATTTATTGACTCCATTTACACCATTCCTCAGTGCGCTGTGGTGGGAACAGCCGGCAGTTCCAGGGAGCAGGGGGTGGTTGCAGAGTTATCCCAGAGGAGAGGAGAGTTGGGAAGGGAGGAAGGGAAAGAGGCCCAGAGAAGCCCCGTGGTGTCTCCTCACGGTGTCTCCTCAGGGCTCCGAGCACCCTGGCACGCAGGGATGGAGCCTCGGGAGCTGCGTCTTCCAAAGGCTCTCTGGTAACCAGGCTTGAAGCATCATGGTCTTCACTTTTTTCCTCATTTCTGAACACTGTAAACATACCCGAGTGATTCACTGTGTGAAAGTGTCTTGTTCAGGGAGAGCTGATGCGCTTCCCTCCTCATGCACTTCCCCTGGGCCCCGCAACCTTCACACAGCTGGGGAGGACATGGAAATACCCCTCGCCAGGTGCTGCAGCTGCACCTGCAGCCAGGGAGGTAATTGCAGGGAGAGAAATAGGAAATTGGGGCAATTTTCCACTGCCACATCATGCAAAAGCCTTGACCTGCCATGGGCAGAATCTGCTCACCCATTACCTCCAGCGCCAGTGGACATCGCTAATTAAGACACCTAATTTGCAGCCCGTGGAGGGTGATGCTTTCTGCACTGAGTCCCTCCCTGCACAGCCGCTGCCTGGGGCCTGGGACTGCACCCAGCCCCTCCATCCAGCTCCACTAAGGCCCCTTCACAACACAGCAGGTTTTAATCCTCTTTTAGGAGAGGAATTGGGACTCACAAATCCCCTTATCCGTCCTCTGGGTGAGTTGGAGGGTGGTGGAGAACGATCTTGGGAAGCGCAGGAGGCCGGAGGCTGCAATCGGGATCCCCCCTCCGGCGCTGCAGCATCTCGGACGGGGCGGGCGCCGGGAGTGACCCCTCTGTGCACCTTGCAGGAGTGGGCAGACGTGTGTTGCAGGGGGCTCCGGAGCGTCCATGCCTACATCCTGGTCTATGACATCTGTTGCTTTGACAGCTTCGAGTACATCAAAACCATCCGACAGCAGATCCTGGAGACGAGGTAGGTGCCCCGGCGCGTGGAGCCGCCGCAGCTCAGCCCTGTGGCACACGCTGCTCCTGGGCACCCTTTGCAGCACCCGGAGCCCAGTAGCGAAGGCAAGACCTGCCATGCAGCAGGGCATGCGCCGTCATCGCGAGCGGGCAAGGAGAGGGGTCTGGAGATGCCCTTTGGCCAGACATGAGCGCGGCTCCAGGCTGTGAGGGAGGAGGAGGGGGCAGCATGTTTGCCTGGCATCCTGGCTTACACCTCTTGAAAGCAGCCGAGGTGCCACCAGAAATCACTTTGGGGTGGGTTGGGGTTCATGGGCTGGCCCAGGAAGCAGCAGGACAACCAGAAGCAGCTCTGCTCTGCATCCCTTCCCTCCTCCTCCAAAGCTCTTCTGTTTGCAGGGTCATCGGAACGTCTGAGACGCCCATCATCATTGTGGGCAACAAGCGAGACCTGCAGAAGGGCCGGGTGATCCCCCGCTGGAACGTCTCCAACCTGGTGAAGAAGACGTGGAAGTGCGGCTACATCGAGTGCTCGGCCAAGTACAACTGGCACATCCTGCTGCTCTTCAGCGAGCTCCTCAAGAGCGTGGGCTGCGCCCGCTGCAAGCACGTGCACACCACGATCCGCTTCCAGGGCGCCCTGCGCAGGAACCGATGCACCATCATGTGAGAGCTCCCGGGCCCCCGCCGGCCCCGCAGAGCTCGGAGGCAGAGCACGGGCCGCTGCTGGGGTGACACGTGGGGACGGGACACCTAGGGACATGGCCGTGGTGCTGTAGGCAGCAAGGAGCGAGGATGGACCTCGGCTAAACCTGCAGAGCCCAAGGCCTCCCGCTGCCTCCCTGTGCTCGGGGCCAGCGCTGTGGAGAGGTGGGTTGTATCTCGGCGGCTTCCACGGGGTGGCCTCCAGGTCATCCCCATGGGCTGGCCTTGGGCTGCTCCTCGGGAGATGCTCATGGAGAGGGATGGCCCTTGGGCTCTCCTGTAGACCTCAGATTCCTACCCTGACATTCACCACCGTGTCCCTGCTCCTCGCCAGCCTGGCCTGGTCTCTTGGCCGGTCACGGGCACCTGGCCACAGCGGCACAGGCAGCCGGACCCCCGGCTCGAGAAAGCGCTGCTGTTCCCCCCACCAGCTCCTCTTCTCCAGCCTGGGCTTCCTCCAACTCATGCTCCATCCTTCCACCCATCTGCCCCTTTCCGCCCTCCACCACCGGTCCCTGCCCTTGTGCTGCTGTTGCCGTGTCCCCGACCTGCCCTGAGGTGGCTTTTCTTGCTGGAAAACCATCCGGCCCTGTGGTCTGGCCAGCAGGAACCCCGTTTGTTCCCCCAGAGCCATCAGGGGGTTCATTCCTGCTTGCCAGGCTTCATTTCCTGGCAGGATTTCTAGGTGAAACCAAGGCAGGGAGGACAGGAGCGGCGGGTGCTCCCAGTTCATGCTCCCGCCTGTCCTGGGAAGCACTCCTGCTTTCCCATCCAGAGCGCAGCCCTTTCCCCGAATCCCATCTATCGGTGTGTGAGCCAGCCCCGGAGCCAGAGGCGCCCGTGTCCCCCACGTCCCCACTCGCGCCAGGGCAGCCTCCCCGCCCCGGCAGTGCCGGCACCCCCGGCCGCGCTGCCATCCTGGCCCTGGCGCAGCCGTTTTCCCGGGAAAAGTCCCCATTTTCTACCTCTTGTCCGGGGCCGAGCGCCCTGCCACGGCCCGGGGAGGTGACCCACGAGCCCGGCGGCCGCAGGGCCCCGTCCCTGTCACCTTCTGCAGCAAGGGGACCCGTGGGGCAGCTTTTCCCTATGGGCGATGCTCTCCCCACTGGTACCGCTGCTCCCCGGCCTGGCAAAGGGGCTTTTTTTTTCTCTTTTTGACCCCCCCCAAACCCGCTTGCTTGGCCCCAGGCCTCCAACTCGCCCGCCGCGGCGTCTGGGTGGCCAAGCAGGGACTGGGCTAGTGGGTGCCCGGCCAGGGTGGCCAGGCTGGAGGGGCTCTCCCTGCCCGGTAGACACGGCCCCCGTTGCGAAACAAGAGCAGCCCCCCAGCCCAGGGTTTGGTGCCCTCAGTTAGCTCCCGTTTAACCCCGGTAACACTTTCTATTAAGAGTCGTCCAACTCCCACGGCAGCACGTGACGTTTTTCTGGCCTTGCATCCCAGCTGCGCTCCCCAGAAATGAAGGGAAAAGAGAAAAACTGGGGGGAAACCCGTTTTTTTTTTTCCAGGTCGGGGCCTGGCACGGGGGGTTAAACACCCCATCCTTCACCACAGCCCGTCCCAGCCTCCCCTCGCCGGGATTTAGCAGCACACGTGAGTCCATGGTAGTGCCCTGTCACTAGCTTTAGCCCCCCGGACTGTTTGGCAAGGAAATTCCCTGGTAAATGCTAAGAATAAAGCATTTCTGAAGTGCTCCAACGTACACATATCAATGACTAAGCCAATACATCGTTTGTTATAGTCCGGTAGCCTGCAGTTTATAGCACAACTAGTTATACGTTTTTATAGCATCTGATTTAGTATTTTGGAAGAAAAAAAAAAAAAAAAAGGTTATAAATACAATTCTTATATTCTACTGCACTTTATAGACAGAGAAAGTTATATTAGTAATAACACCTCGCCGCTTAGGTAGCGTCTCCCAGGAGACCCGGGGCTGCCAGGACGTGTTTCCCAGTGCGGCTCCCAGGCAGGAAAAGCGGGATTAGGGGCGGGGGTCGGGGCAGGGCTGGATCATGGAGATGGATCAGCGGGATCCCTCCGGCAGCTGAACTGCCTCCCCCTCTTCCCGAGGGAAACCCTTAGTATAAAGTGTTACCGCTCTACACACGGCCGTAGCTCCGCTCTCACTCGACTTCCACGGCCAAAGTGGATAAAATGCCCCGTTCCCGAGCAGCGCCGAGCGCCTGGTCCAGCCCCGCGCGGCCGAGGCTGGCGCGGGAGCGGCACCTGCCGGGATGCACCGTTCCCGTTCCCGAGCCGGCGCGCTCGCCATTCCCAGCGCCTGCCTTGCCCTGCCCGGTGGCACCGTGTCCCCGAGGTGGCTGCCCAGCCCGTGACACGCCGCACCCGGTGTTGGAAACCGAAATAAAATCAGGTCTGTTCCCTCTTGTTCTGTACCTGCTCGCTCTCGTCTTTGCTTGCAGCGCCCGTGGCCTTCCCCGGGGAAGAGGCCGGAACGGGAGCATTAAGTGCAATGTTGTGGTACCGGCTCTGCAAGGTCCGTGTTGGGGACAGCTTTGGTTCATCCGGTGCCATTCGAGGGCCTGACAGCTCATACACCAGCCCCAAGGCAACTTTCTGCAGCCAGAAAGGACCATTAAAAAGTAATTCCCCAAACCAGGACTGAGCTGGAGAGGAGGGGAGAAGCCCCCAGCCCTTTGGCCAGGCTGGCAGAAATATTGCTGCCCAAAGCACGTTGCAAAGGGGATGTCTGGGGGAATGCGGTTGGTTTCTCCTCTGCACCAGGGCGGTGGTGGCTGGAAAAGCACCTCTGTCCTGTTGGACTGAGCCAGGTAGGAGCCGGCACCCGGCGCCGGTGCCTTGGGCCTACGTTTGCAGCCAGGCTCTCCCCATTCATTCCCATTTCACTCACTGAGCACCAAGGCTTTGGGAAAGGAAGCTTGGGGGTTGAAGGAGCATGGCTGGGCGCTCCCCTTGTCCTCTCCTCCCTGCCTTTGACCGAATCCTCTCCCCAAAATCCCACCTCTGTTGGCCCAAGCCAGGATTTCGTAGGGTAGGGAAGGAAGTTTCGGCCGGGGGTTCTGAGCAGAGAAGAGGCCACGCGGTGCTCGGGGAGGAAAAGCAAAAACCCCGGCGAGCGCAGGCAGCCCCCGGGCTGGCTCCAAAATGCCGCCAGAGCCGGGCCGCGTTTCTGCCTTTTCCACCCTTGGCTGGCACGAATCAAAGGGATCCCACGCGTTTGCTCAGGTCTTTGGTACTGTAAGTGCCGTTAGCCCCGTGACACAGACAGGGAAGGGCGCAGAGCGGCGGGTGCTGGGGGACACGGGTGCCCGCAGCCCCGGCGCCGTTCAGCAGCCCCGCTCGCCTCCCCCTGCCCCACGGTGCTGCCTTCTCTCCATTCGTGGCTCCGAGCCCCATCTCTCCAACCACATCAGTCACAGGAGCCTGATTAGGAGCGATGAGTCCAAACCCAAACCTGCTGCAACGGATCCGCTCCGCAGAGCCCAGGGGTGCAGCTGCCTCCCAGGGACCAGCACCCTTGGGATGCCCTGACTTGTGCAAAGCCGGCGTTGGGGTCAGACCCAGGCTTCCTCCTCCTGCTCCTCCTCCTCCTCCTCAGCGGGGTGGCCGGG